CCCATTTTTATACATTAAAAACAATCGAGACATCATCCAGAAATTCTCAACAATTCTTGAATTAAGGACTCCAACTTAATGGAGTCATTTTTTTGATTGAATCAGGAATATCTTGGCTTAGTAAAAGAGTGGAAATCAAAGAACAATAATGCTTTTAACCAGACTGCCCCTTAACACACCTTTAAAGAAAGCTGGGGATGACTGTATTACAGGTCGGTTTAATTTTGGGTGGCGTGTCGCACCAATGAATATCCAGGCTCCAAGTTTTAACCCTGTTTTAAATGGATGTTTTGTTTTGAATTATACCATTTTTTAATAATTACTAGAAACAGGCCGAATTCTAACAAACGATTTTTAATATGTATTATGCAGTTCATATAGTAAACCCTTTGAGCATTTTTAATTGCCATTGCATTATGTATGGAGGGCTTATCCACCCCCTCCCCACGTAGAGAAGAAGATGATCAGGGCAGACCTGCATAAACCAGGTGGACAAGTTTTTCTTTCTGCATGGCCGTTCTTTGTTAAGATTTTATAACCACCCAAATTACTATAATCAGTTGCTCGATCAGGTATGAAGATATAATTCTTGTGTTTAATGATACAACACAACTCATGTATAGATCGTTTTCACATGACGCCACGGCGGCCATATTTGTGTACAAAACAATGAATCGTCGGCCATGTTTGTGTATAAAAAAAATCCTGTAGGAATTAAATTCTCTTCACGTGTTAAAACTTTCTTTTATTCTAAGCAGTTTGCAAAGCTGCTGACCACGTGACTGGAAACGATATATTCGTGTTTATATGCAGGTGCTAAGCATTCCCTACAGCTTTTCGTGAGTTGAACATGAAACGAAACTTGGAGCCAGGCTTTTTACAGTATAATTTTACGAAGACTTTGTTTAAAAGAAAATATGATTATCAGTACTGCACTTCCAAAGACCAATCATGGCATCACTCTGGAAAATTAAATAACTTAACGGTGTTTTTACCTTTTCTCCAAAATCACGGAACGAAACGAGAAGTAGAACACATATTCATGACACATACCTTGCCTTTTTCCAGCAGCAAAATCTCAAGTATTACGTACTTTCTTCTCCAAGTCAATATAAATTTCAGCTTATCAGGTAGCCATGCATGCAAAGGTTTGCGTCAGTGGTTATTTCAAACAATCGAAGATACTCCTTTTACAGACTCGTACCCAGTCGCTATTTAAGTGTTTTTGGGGGTGAGAGAAGATTGGGGATTCGGTTGAGGCGCACGCGGGGTCTCATGGGAAGGGAAGAAGGAAAAATAGCGACGCCCGACCCACCAAAGCCAGGGAAAAGCGCCCTGGGGACGAGGTTGGTTTTTTCTGACAATAAGAAAATGGTAACAATTCTCTACAGAGTGACTAGAGCGTAAAGTTGAAAAAGTTAAGCACATGAAGTTGGAGGTCATTCGGCCGATGACTAAAAACAATATGAATTTCCAGACAGAATAAACCATAACTGATCAGTCCACGTTAATTGTTTGTGAAGAACAAGGATGGATGGGAGGGGGGGGGGGAGGGGGAGGGGGGAGGGGGTGCTTAATAGAGATGGTGGCTTAATGGAAGATATACGGTAGGTTTATTGCCGGTTTCATTTCCAGACGACACACAGCGGTAAAGGCGACGGTAGTTAGAAAACCTCTCAAATCCTTCACACAGGTCCGAGACAAGCTTCAAATCTCAAGGTTTTTGGAAATGAAATATTTATTTGCTGTGTTAGGAGAATTCATTTGCCGGAGATAAAGCTGTAATTTTCTACGGCGGTCGTATTAAGTCTTCTTCCAGCTTTTAGAGCGATTTTACTTAACCCGTGAAATAGGTAGTAGAATACTTCGCACTATTATACAAATTCCATTGTCTTCTTTCGTTTAGACGTTGCTATTTTTCACTAGTTGTTAGTATCTGTTTCACGGGTCAAGTAAAATCACTCTATTCCGTCCGGACCAGAAGAATGGGAGGGACGCGATATTGTTCGCTCACACGCCGCCTAACACCAAAATTGCCCGCCTTCTCCGTCTGTAGGTTTATTCTGTCCTCTCTCAGCGCAGTGCCGGAGTTTGGGTGCATTGTAATACATAGATTTAGCCAGGGCTAAAGGCGAAGCCTCCGTTTATATACTTATGATAGATTTAAAGGAGTTAACTTAGATATAATAACTCTAAGCCACTAGAGAGAATCCCGGGGGATACTCCTTATGATGGCCTACACGGGGAGGCTCCGCCCGAAAGGGGTAGTTTTTCAGGGTAGGGATTTCACTTGTTAAAGTGTATAAAAGGATAGGGAAATCTGTCATTAGGGTCTGTAAAAGGGCTAAAAAGGGCTAACAGGTGAATTTCAGTGCTTTAAAAAGTAGAGAAAATGTTCCATTTTTGTGTTCATTCCTATTTAAAGGACGGTGCATCTACAGCAGCAAGAGATGGTACCTTTTTCGTGAAAAATGATATATAAAAGGGTGAGAGGTTGGACCTCGGGGCGGAGCCTCCCAGTATATACATTTGTTTAGAACCCCCTGGGGAAAGAACCTTCCTTTCAAGGGAGGGGCTGGTTGATATAGAAAAAAAATCGTTCTACTGTAAAGCACGATACTCATCAGTAGCAGCCAATTTACAGGTTACGTTTCTAGAGTCAATATTTCCGTTTAAAGGAAGGACCAAAACTAAAATCGAGCCAACTTCTGTGCTAGCTGCATTCTTATCATGCTTATGTTTTTCTTATATTGAGCCCAAAGGTTTTTAGGCCCGAGAAGAACAGTTATGAGTAAATTAGCCTTTACATTTATGCATCGCAGTATCTGAAAAAAATTTACTATACGGTACCGTTTGTTTTCTTTAGGGGCAGACCTAGAGCAGCAAATAATTTATTTAACGATTTCGGCCACTATCATTGAACTATGAATTCTTTAAAAATATACACGTAAATCAACTGTGCGATTAGCGTTCAGTAGTTCAAATTCACTGAGAAGCTACTGAGAAATGTGCGATGAACTTTTAGACCACAAATCAGTATAAACGTTACAAAAAAACTCGGTTGAAGAATTAGTGTGTCTGAACTGTTTCTAAAAAACCCTTTGAAACTTTGACTTCTTTAATTGTGTCTGTTTTTTGTTGTTGTTGTTGTTGTTGTTTTTTTTTTTTGGCATCCGGCTCCGTTCGCGTTCTTGAATGCCGAAAACTAAATGATCATGAACGTACCTCGAGGCAAGACTTTTGCTTAAAGCTTTCTATTAATACCAGTACTGATATTTTACCTTTTTTGGTTTCCTTTCTTCTTAACGTTATTGGTTTTTCAATACATCAAAGAATTATCACAAATTGTTTTCAATAAATGCGTCTAGAAAACAGCTTTTATTTATGAGCATCTTACAAAGAACCGGCGAGTCGTTTCGCTGCGTTCATCGATGAGTCTGGCTGACGGTCTTAATTACCTAAACAGACATTTTTACGATAGTTCAGAGAAATGAGAGTAAATAAAGATTAAACCTAGTTACGCAGTTCACCGTTGCAGCGTTTTAATAACGGCAACTGATTTTTAATGGTATGAACGCTGACCAGTATCTCATTTTCAACTGTCCATTCGCAATTCCCCAGCCCCCATTTCCCGTTCTATCAAAATACAATGAATGAAGAAAGGAAGGAGGGGAGGAAGCGAGCGAGCGAGCGAGAGTGCGAGGGAGGAAGGACGAAGGAAGGGAGGGAGGAAGATAGCCTTAACAAACATTCTAAAAATAGTACTGTGGTAATTGTAATTTCATTAATTAAGACTAGAGAGACACCTATTAATAAAAATTCGCTTAAATTGTTCAGTTCAAATGCAAGGTAAAATGATATTGCGGATGCGAGCATGGAGAGACCTTCCCTTCTGCATGGGAAGTAAACCACGTAAACAGTGAACAGGGTCATGTTGGGTATAACTGCTTTGATAACCATACTTGCAAGGTCGTTTACAAAACTTATCAATCCTACAGGCGACTATGATATTTATATTCCAATGCACTTTGCCCAAACTTCAATGGCGTTCAAAAATAATGACACAATTAAGCTATTAAATCAGAAAAATGATAAAAAGAGCTGCTAAATTTTCTCGCGATAATTTACAAGCTCTTGTAATATATAGCCTGGAACTACAGTGCAGTAGTTATACGTGGCAATAAGCCAAAATGAGTGTCCCAGGTACAGGGTCTTAATTGCTTGCTTGCTTACAATGAGTTCCATCCTCAGTGTTCTTACTGGCCCATTGTTGGATATTTCTAACCTTTTCCATGGAAAGACCAGAGAGTTGGGAGCCGATGGGTTGATTGGAATGCTACTGGCAAATGCGGTAACATCGTTAACCATGGTGGAGAAAAAATCAGAATAGGCCTCAATACAGCCCCTTGAGGAACACCCCTGTTAACAATGATAAACTCCGTAGATTTTCCATCTTTAACCACTCGTTTTTGCGTGTATGTAGTTAATGACCCATTTGGTAATCCATGTCTTTTTACTTATTTAAAACTCACATAATACGCATTTTTATCAAGCCAGCTTAGCCAGCTATGATAAGTGTTATGTAAATAAATAAGTCTTGGCAAAAGTGACCGAAGCAAACAAGGCTGGATACTTCATTACAGCGGATGCAGCAATATAAAGTTTTGGCGATAGCAGATTTTAGCGTGGACGCTATAGTTTGCGAAGGGAGTGAATTTATGATTTGCCCGATGTTTGAAAATTCCGTAACGATCTAAGTTTTGCCAGTGTACACTTCATACGTATTTTTCATGCATGAATTAACCGGTCAATCTAATTCTTTTCAGTTTCTGATTCTGTTGAAATCACCTCGTGTGTATCTATCTTTCATTTTATTTAGAACAATTATTCCTTACAATGTCGTTGTGAATAGTGGCTAGGAATGTTTACCTCAGTTTCAAATAATAATTGTTAAATGTTACGTGGGACTCCATTTTATGACGATTTCTTAGTTTACGTATGATTCTTTCAAACTTAATGAAGCAAAAACTTCAGGTGAATATAAAGGTTTTGCTAAATGCAAAGACTTATCATGTCAGTTTTGATCAGTGATTTTTTTATAAATTGCGAAAAAAAGGCCAATCCGAATAAACAGCATCAAAATTCCACGAGGTTCAAAACGTCTCTCTCTTCCCACTCACAGTTTTCAACGCGCTACTTTAAATAGCAACTATTTCTGTAGCTATTGTCTACTACAAGAAAATGAAGACCAGAAAACTGAGTTCCTGTCCCACACTCGTGACATAATGATTCATGGTAAATAATTTATTCTCATTAATGGTAAATCATGACTAAACCAGCAGTTTTGTGTAGGGTCTTTAGGGTATACGACTTTTAAACATGTTCTGTGACCTGTGCCAAACCAGAAAGCTTTACAGAGAGTTTCCCATAGATGCTCTTACGGATGAATGTGAACATGCGCCTCTACATTGCCTCAGGGTAAGTAAGTGATAATTTACCTTATACATAATTCGAAGCAGCGTGTTGGTGAACAGTTAAGATAATCGCGGAGAAAGTATGCTCTTTAAAGGTCCACGCTTGGATTACTTGGTACATGCATGTGCGAATATTTCATGTCGCACATGTAGGTTTAATGGTTTAAAAATCAATTTTCAAGCAAACGATAGGAACTAAAGAGATGATGTGTCTAGGTATCTGTGCCTTGAAGAGTAAACCATTGTGAATTTATTACTTGCTCAAACTAAACTTGTTAGTTACTAAGAAAGAATCGCTCCCCTCGGTTTTATTTTGATTTTGCGATAGTCATATAATAGAGAAACATTTCCTTTCAGTGTGTAACAAAGCATGTTCAGGAATTCCACAAGTGTTCTCAGTGTACACAAGTGGTTACCACCGACAACCCACGCTATCTCGAATGCTTGGCCAGGCTCGACATTCTGTTTCCAAAACATGATGTGTCTTCTGCCCCTGAAGATGCCAAATTGCCATCGACGGGAGGCGACAAGACGATTTCTGTTGTGATGTTGGGTGGGGATAGTACTGTTGTAGAGTACCAACCACTTATGACGATTCTATCGCTGAAGATCTTCATAAAAAGCAGACTTGGTCCAGAACCAAACAAACAACGCTTACTGTACAAAGAACAAGAGCTCAAGGTAGGAACAACTACGAGACGTACACTCATTTTTTCAACAAAATAGTTATAAATTAATAATTTTGCTTAGCCGGTAATTAACAAGAGCCTGAAAGTACTACTGGTTGTGCGTTCTTCAGCTGCTTGTCGTCGTGCAAGTTGTAGGAAACATTCAACAAAAAATGAAATACAAGTGCTGTCAAGGCCCTTTTTCTGTTTTTAAAACTGAATTGTTTACTTGGTTTTTCGTCGAAGAAAGAGAACTGCTTGCGGTTCCCAGCCAACAGCTTCCACATGTGTACGGTGGAGCTGGCGCTTAAAGGAGAGGGTCTGTGATCGTAAGAGAGACCGTGCTGGCTATACCATGCTGGTGGGTCCTAGCAAGGACGAATCAGCTGTCCATGGCTGGCACTGTCGGGTTGATTTGTTTGTGCGCATGCTTAAGGTACGGGTCATACCGCCGAATTGGTAGTGTGTGCTTCAGTTCATAGTGTGGTCTTGATTCATCGATGGCTGAGTATCAGTCTGCATAGCAGGCGTCGGTAATTTCTTCAAAGGCCGCGCGAGGGGAACAAGTGAAGGAGAGAGGTTGAGGACTACTTTATGGTTGTTCATAGGGGGGAAATGTTAAACAAGTTATCAGCCTTCCTGGATCTTTTCTCCAGAAGAAACAAAACTACACTGAAGATTACTGAGTACCAGATATTGTGATTTATAATCCAAAGCGTAGTTTGCACCTAACGGTTTCTAGGTCCGATTTTGCAAACGAAAGAAATTCAAAACACAAAAATCGGCCTAATTTACCATTCGAGTGGAATCCCTTTTAGATGGAAAGATTGATCTATAAAGATAAACTGTGAACTGGACACAACCAAAGGGTTTCGAGAATGACAATCGACCTAAATAAAACATTAAATTTAATGAGCTATTATGTTCTCAAAGGAGTGTGGTGTGGAGGAGGGGCTTCAGAAATGTAGACGTCTTTTTTTGTTTTTAAATCAGTTAAGTATCTATTGCTGAGTTCTTTCCATGGGTTGAAGTTTATAGGCGTTTTAATTTTTGGATTTTAAGTAACTAGAAGTGTATAAATGGACGCCTCGCTTTTAGCTTTGGCTAAAATCTATATATTAGTCTACAAATAGAGTCGCTTCTAATAGTTACTCGCCGCTGGGATAGGGTGCAGCATTCCCAGGCAACGAGTGCTGGGCGCTCTGCTCTTTAAAGTTTTTTAATAAACAAAAGCCAAGTACATCTTAATTTTTTTTGCCAGTTTTACTTTTTAACTTGAACCAGAAAATCGCCTTAAAGTTTTTTCTCCGTAATTGTCCTATTCGCAGTGAATATCACACAACTTCGTTCTCGAATACTTTGCAAATGTTTCAGTTTGCTACGTAATGATGGTGTTAATCGTAATGTCGGGAATGAGAGAACAACAATTGGTACGCTCTTTACATTATATATGAATTCTCTATATTTCAGACATACACCAGTGCTGATAAATTGGCCACTTTACAAGATAACGGGGTCCAGCCATTCAGTACACTGCATCTGATCGTGGTTCTGTATGAGATCTCCGAGTCTCTTGATAACGTGATTTTCGACTTGTTCTGGGGCTATCCGACGAGTAGACGTGATTATTTAGATGCGTCTGTACTTATTTACAGTGGCAGCTCGTTTCAAACTGTAGTCGATTTTAGGTGTCGTGGTTTTAGCGGTGTTACGCACTCCGGTGATGTAATGGATGACGTCAAGCGTCTTGGTCATCATACCATAAATGTGAAGCTGAAAAGCTTGCCTTCGTCTGTCGACAAGCTGTTCTTTACTCTAAGTGCTTGGAACTCACCAAACATCTCCAAGTACAAAAATCCCAGCCTGCGCTTCTTTGACGCCAAGGAACCCAACAAGCAGCTCTGCAGTGATCAAATGCAATATGCAGTTTACTCCCAGGCCATTATCATGGGCAGTCTATGTAAGATAAACCACAGCTGGAAAGTGTTAAGTTTACGCAAGCAGTCCGCGGGAAATGCAAAGAATTATTCCCCATTGCAACAAACAATTGGTAGGGTCATTGTGCAAGGATTGTGTTAGGAATGGATTTTTGTTACACTGAAAGACCTTGTAACAGCTCTTCAATAAGAGAAAATCTTTAATAATCTTTCTTTTAGCAGTGCGTATTTTGCAATCTTAGATCGTACGTTTATGATTGTTTTTAGCTTATTCTCATCCTATAAAACTGGTTCTCGTTTTTTCAGTCCTCCATGGGAAGTTGATTAACTGGTTCTTAAGGTTCACGAACGAACGTTTTAGTCGAAAGAGTGCCTTGCTGCCTATTTTTCAAGTTATCGGTGTGACGCTTGTGTAAAGTTGTCTGAATTACAGTAATGCACTATTGTAACCATTCTTTCCTTGTTTTAACATTTTTTTTTCAAAAACCAGGCCCGGGTTGTTCAAACGTTGGATAGCGCTATCCATCGCATAAATCACTATCTAGGGAAAAAGTGTTCGGGAAACCAATTGCACTATCCACTGGATAGCGATTTGTCCGCTGGATAGTGAACAACTGGGGCCAGAACTATAGCGTATGAAGGAAGAATCAAGATATGCTAAAAAGGTTTGAAGTTGTATGTCCGCTTCCAGACCCAAGGTCCCCAAGCAAATGACGTAACAGCAAAATCACTAATCATCAGCATCAACACTAGAAAAAATTAATAAAAATGATAATAATAATAATAATAATAATAATAATAATAATGATGATGATGATGATAATGATAATAATAAACGTAGTTTATTTGAGTTTAATTTTATTCGAAAGCAGAAATTGAAGACACTATTTTCTCGTCTTCTACTGGAGACGAGATTGTCATTTTACGAGGCCATGTGATCCACGCGAAGGTCTAGCCATTTGCATTGCAAAGGCGGTAACATAGTTATTTTGAAACGCTTAGTGTTAATTAGTCCGGACCCCAGTGTCGAACCCGCGATATCCCGCTCTACAGTAAACACTTAATTGAGCTCTTCTCGCAGTATTGCTCTGGAGTAGGCTTGGTTACAAGCCGCTGTTCGAGAACACTGACGGAATTGACGACGCGTGCGCATGTCTAAAGGTCGGTACACTTTAGGCGACAAGTTGCAGAAACATGTCTCGGCGACTCGTCGCAGCGACACATATGCCGCTCTGTAGCCTGCGTAGCTGGCGGTATTGTGTAGTAGTCGAGTGAGATTTGGCGGCGGAGCCGTTGTAATATAGTCGCTCGTCCCTACTCCCTTTTTTTGGAACACGGCTCCGCCGCCAAAACTTTACTCTCGCACCCACACTATACCGCCAGCTACGCAGGCTAGCCGCTCTGGGATTGGTCAATTCGGTGTTTAAGGTCGGAACACACTAGGCGACAAATCACTCCGAGTGCACAGATCGGGCGACTCCCGGGGGGGTACTCGCAGAAAAATTGGGTAGGGGTGTGCGGCCCGCTTCCCAAAACCCTTACCCTATTTATGACCAAAATCTGCGATTTTCCCTAACCTATTTATGACCTACAAAGCAGCCGGTGGAGAGGAAGGCAAAGCGCGGATGGGAAGAGGGGACATGATAAGGAAGTAGCTTTTACTCAAAAAGTGCATTCAAGACTACAGTGCAAAAATCGTTACCCTATTTATGACCAAAATGGCGGCAAAATAGCCAAAATCGATACCCAATTTATGACCAAAACGGCTGAAAAACCCTACCCTTTGGGGTCGCACATACGTATATAGCCCATATTAGGGAGTACCCCCCCCCGGGGGGGCGACTAGTTGCAGCAACACGTAGCGGCGACAAATCGGAGTGACAAATCGCTTCACGTGTACTAGAGAATTCTTGAGAAAATCTTTGTTTTTGCAACAGAAATCAAATCAGACAGAATCTGTGCGACTTGCTGCGGCGACAAAAATTGAACTAGTCGCCCAATCTGTGCTCACGGAGTGATTTGTCGCCGCGACTGGTCGCCTAGTGTGTTCCGACCTTAAACACGAAATTGACCAATCGCAGAGCGGCAAATTAATTGCCGGAAGTCACGTTCAGTCCTCTCCACCCAATGTGGCATTCTCATTTGAAGCTTATATGGCTAATACGGAAATTTGCAACTGCAGCTTCCTTTCAGGATTCCGTGTTGTAAATAATAAATTCGGGCGTGACAGCTAAGCATTTTAAACTCTTGAACGCTGCCGTCAGGATTCAAACCCTTCTTTTAACTTTTAATTTACCTTGTTTGAAGAATTTTAGGTAAACGAACATTTTTCTGTGCGAAAATTCTCCTTTTGGGATCTTTAAGAGCATTTTGGGCAATATTTCCTTAAAGAGTGAAGGTTCCCTTTAAGCCCCACTACTCTTTATCAACCTAGTCCTTTGATAGAGTCAAAGGCAACTATACCGCAGCTAAATCTGCAGTAATTACACCGCGTATAGCGATCTTTTATAAAGCCCTGGGGTCTGTTTGTTTCACTTTTTAAAATAATCTTCTAAGTGGACTTTTTGTCTCGAATATGTAAAGCGTAACTCGTTTTGGCCTCTTTCTTTATTGCTTCCAATTTACTAGCGTAACAAACGTGCGCGGAAACGCTTCCTACAAAGGCTATTTCTTGTTATAAAGGACACCTAGCGGCATTGCTTTAGAAAAACAATTTGTTATCTTGTATAAACTTTTGGGGTGGAATTACGATTCTTCTGTTGCTGAATACTTACCCAGGGCCCCTCCCTTTTTCCCTTCCTCCCTTTCGCCTACCCCTTTCGACGCCCGCTACGCATGCCAGACTTCCAGGACTTTCTTGCTAGTTTTCACATTACGTCATCAATCAAACTAAAGAATTATCGAGCCTCCTGACTTTTTACTTTGGGGAAGTATTAGAGTAGCCAAAAACAAACATTTCTACGCATTTTCACTTCGAAAGGGTCTTTTTTGTGTGTGATAGAGTACGCTTGAATTTCTAGGCTTTTGCGTGCCACGGCATTTACATGGCGGCCGAGAGAGCTGTCACGTAGGATAAAAAAGTAACTTATTTGGGGAACATTTGCTATCTGAACCGTTCTTGTATTACAGAAAGTACTACTTTAATGTCGGTGTAATGTTTTTGATCGAGTTCCTCAAGAGATGAATCCACGCATTCTTAACAATCTCAGTAACAGATGTTTCTGTGGGTTCCGGCCGGCATGTTGGCATGTTGTTACCCATAGTGCGGACTGTGCCCATCCGGATGGGTACCAACATGGCGCGGGCTCCATACAAAGCTCTGGTATAAATATGGGCAAATCATTTCTCCAAATATCTCGCATATTAAAAATTGCACTTACCTGAAACTCGACGAGGGCCTCTGTATAATTACCTCTTTTTCTTTCCCAGATTCTAAAATTTACCTATCGAACAGTTTTAAGATTTTAATTTTTTTATGTCGTGACGGCGACGGAAACAAGAACGGCCAAAAAGCAATAATAGGTTTAGATTTATAGCAAAACAACAACTTTGCTCGTGCATCATATGCTTTTGTGTACATTTCTTTGCCGTGGTTCCACGACGACGACGAACAAAAACACAAGACGACGATTTTTTTTTTCTTTTTGTGAACTTAGATGCAGTCTTTTAGAAAACAACTCCTGAAGAAATCGTCAACATTTGACAAATTAAAAGAGTTGGAATAAGAGCGATGAGGTTTGAAACAGCGCCAATTCCTTTTTTAGGAGACATTTTTGTAGCCGTCCGACGTCGTAGTTGCTTAAGCCCCCTAGTGAGGAAACTAAGACACGGCCCCTATACTATGGTGTCCACAATAACGGACTAGACTATGCACATGGGTCATATCTGCGCAACGGTCTCCATAGTTTGGTTAAACAAAGGGGGTTTCACTCAGTTATGTAGACAAAATACCGAATGTTGAGGGAAAAGATGATTACGTGACTGCCCACGAGATGACTCTACCTACCCTTATTTGGTGTGAGTACCAGTGTAGCCTGTTCCAGGCTCCGAGATAGTCGGGTTCGCGAAATTGAGACTGAAACGTGAACATGAGGATAAAACGGTAGAAAACAGGGGAGAGGAAGGGCTTCCCTTATTTTTCCCGCCGTCGCCCTTCGCCGCCCCCGTTTATTACGCGTGCGTTACACCATCCTATCTGAGAGGCTGGAACAGTCTAGCTAGTACCAGTGATACCGCGCTGTTATCGCGGTTAATTTATCGCCAGAAAAGGAACTCAGGATTTCTCAAAGACACTTGGATTAGCACAGATTAGCCTAACCTGGCCGTAAAACGTATTTAGGGCAGATAAATTAACTTTTCGCGATCGTTTAGCGATAAAGTGAAATTTGAGGTAAATCTAGTGTCCTGATCTCATTTTCTTCAGAACAAATGGTTACACATAGATCTTGTGTGGGCTTCACAATCTATGGCACTTGTCAGGTTATTCTTGCTGTAAAACTCCCTGTCTATCAGTTCTTCAAACCTGCTATTCGAATTTACACATACACGACTTCAAACAACTAAGGCTTTTAAAAATGGTAAACCGCGCCGTGTTGTTTAGCAGCTCTGTTTCACAAAACTATTTTCGAGATTCTTTTGTGGCTCATCACAAAAAGGCATTAGTGGTAATTAGTGATAAGTTAGAAGAAACCATAAAAAGTTTGCCACAGATATTCCAGCGATCGAGAGACAAAGGGCTTTTTTCAGTTTCCACTGTATCCTCTAGCTAATACAGAAAAGATAATAAAATGAGCTCCCACCGAAGCAAAGTAAGAAACAGAAGAAACAAGCTGAATATAATTTTTAGGAGTTTCAAAGCCAGCTCGCACAGTACCCAAATAAAACAGATGAAAATGATGCTGGCTTATCTTCAGGGTATTCAGTTGCTGTCGTAGCTGTTTCCTCCATTTCGCTGTTCCGGTGCTTCATTTTTCCTTCTTTTGTCCCATGCTTAAGCAAGAACGCCGAAGCAAACGTAGACTGCAAAACACTCCGTATTTTTGCGTATTCAAGTATGCGCGAACATTCTAACAGAGGGTGCTCGAGCGTGAGACTCTAATGCTATTCTTACGATTTTGAGAAAAAAAACCCGACTGTTTTGCTAGCCTGAGTATCAGGCCTTCCTACGGGGCTAGGGGAGAACTCTCTCCCTTTTTCGCTTCCATTTTCCCCCTTTTCCCCAGAAACGCCTGATACTCAGGCTACTGTTTTGCAGTCTAAAGCAAACGGGAAATATAATATTTATTTCTGAGCTTCATGCTACAGAAAGAATAGAAACCACGCGCATTTTTCATTTGACAGCACTATGACCGCAAAAAACATCCAAATTGCCTATTGGCTACATGATGTGAGTTGCTTGGCCCACCAGCTTTAGTTCAAGAAAACATCAGCTTTCATGGGCTTGTTTCCAACTTTATTATTAAAGGGGTACGTGAGAAAAAATAAGTGGCAAATTTCTATCGATCTAAAATTTCTGTTCAAATACTAGTAAACTAAATCAACTGCCTCCAGATTCAAAAGCGAAAAATTCTGCTACAAATATAAATTTGGCCGAATTCGTGACTTATTATCCATCGTTCGAGACACCAAAATAGCCTCTGAAATGTTCTAAATATATTGTGCAATTTTTCCCACTGTACTTCTCAAACTCATTAATAATTCATAAAGAAAATACAAAGAAAATTAATGTTTAGTGAGTGTTTGGAAATCGGATGAAAAACTGCTCAGTATT